TTACTTAATTCATTAATTCCAATAGTGCAAGCGTATATACTGTAATTTATATAATAGTATCACCACATAATCTTATTAATATAAATACTAGATTTTAAGACAAACTTGCTGTCCCCAAGTATCGTTTAGAAAAGTCAAAAGGTCTTTTATGGGAATAGGTATAAAAATTTACAATAAGATACCAAAGGATATGTTGGAATTACCCTTAAATGAATTCAAAACATCTGTTAAATCATATTTACAGAGCAATAGAGCAAGAGCCCACGACTGCCAGACATACGTCATTTTAATAAACCTGAAAGTTCTTGTATGTATGTCCCCAACACAGACAACGATCAAATCCAATGGATCGTGGTTCCTTTGATGCCATCAAAGGTGTAAAAAAAATCATATCAAATTCGTTATTTTAGGAAACTCATATTTTCATATATTGTTCGTTTTTATAACGACATTAGTAATTCAGCTGGTTCCAACCCCCGCCGGATATATTAAATGATTAATAACTTACGTATTTTAATAAAGCTGAAATTTATATATATTATTGAGAGTGTCTCAAAATTAAAATGCCAACTGTTTTCTTGGTTCCTTATCCTACCAGACTCATTGATATATTGTTTTTGTATAATTTCATTTAGTTTTATTTTCTTCTGATTTTTTTAATAGAGTTATGACTTAAATATTATAAAGTGTGAATGCCAGACCCATGCGAAAGGTGCAAACTATACTATTTTATAAATAAACTTACGTCATTTTAATAAAGCAATTTATATATATAATCTAAACTTGATGAAATTGCCAATAACTGGTTCCTTATCCTACCAGACTCATTGGTCCGTATATTGAACAAATACAATTTCAATCAAATTCGTTATTTTTAAGAATCATAAATAGTTCGTAAAAATAAGACTCTGCTCGTTGCCAGATATATAATATACTATTTTAGAAATAAACTTATCATTTTAATAAAGCTGAAATTTATATATATTAAATTGAGAGTTCTCTCAAACTTTGACTTTCCTAAAATGCCAACAGTTTTTTGGTTCCTTACCTACCAGATATTGAATATATTGGGTAATAACGGTATACAATACATATCAAATTCTTTATAACATTTTTAATTGTTCTATGTCTGTCTGTTAGTGTGGTTCCAACCCCTGTTTATACTTTTTAGAAATAAACTTACGTCATAATAAAGCTTTTATATATATTATTGAGGTTCTCTCACTGAGTTTCCTATTTTGCCAGACAGTTTTCTTCCTAATCCACCAGACTGATGTAACCGTAATTGGAGTAACTTAGGCTATACAATTTAAACAAAAAATCTTTATTTTAAGTGCTCCATTTTTTCAATATTGTTCGTAGCATTATTATAACTTGCTCTGCTCATGTAATTAGTGTGGTTCATTACCCCCTGCCGAACCCCCTAAATTATACTATTTTAGTATTTAATTTGTATTTTAATATGAAATTTATATATATTAAGAGTTCTCTCAAACTGACTTTCCTAAAATTGCCATACAGTTTTCTTGGTTCCTTTCCTACCAGACTCATTGAAACCGTATATTGGGTAACAACGGTGTATACAATTTCATATCAAATTCGTTATTTTAAGATATATATTGCTCGTAACAGTATTATACTTGCTCTGCTCGTTGCCATTATGTGGTTCAACCCCCCGCTGGACCCCCTAAACTATACTATTTTATAAATAAACTTACGTCATTTTAATAAAGCTGATATTTATATATATTGTGCCACGCGCGAGTTCTCTCAAACCATCGGTTTCCTAAATTGCCAGACCGTTTTCTTGACCACTGAGGCTCATTAAACCGTATATTGGGTAACATACAATTTCAATCAAAATTCGTTATTTTAAGATGCTCCATTTTTTCACATATTGCTCGTAACAGTATTATAACTTGCTCTGCTCGTTGTCGAACCAAGAAAACTGTCTGGTAATTTGGAAGTCGTCGTCCTCGCCGGCGGGGACTCAGTTTAATAGTTCTCTCAATAACATATATAAAGTTCAGCTTTATTAAAATACAAATTTATTTATAAAATAGTATAGTTTAGGGGTCGACTGGGGGTTGGAACCACATAAGGGTATGGCAAAAGCAGAGCAAGTTAAATACTGTTACAAGCAATATTGAAAAAATGGAGCATCTTAAAATAACGAATTTGATATGAAATTGTATACACCGTTGTTACCCAATATACGGTTTCAATGAGTCTGGTAGGATAAGGAACCAAGAAAACTGTCTTGCATTTTAGTAAAGTCAGTTTGAGAGAACTCTCAATAATATATATAAATTTCAGCTTTATTAAAATGACGTAAGTTTATTTCTAAAATAGTATAGTTTAGGGGGGTCCGGCGGGGGGTTGGAACCACACTAAGGGTCTGGCAAAGCATAATACTGTTACGAGCAATATGTGAAAAAATGGAGCATCTTAAAATAACGAATTTGATATGAAATTGTATACACCGTTGTTACCCAATATACGGTTTCAATGAGTCTGGTAGGATAAGGAACCAAGAAAACTGTCTGGCAATTTAGGAAACTCAGTTTGAGAGAACTCTCAATAATATATATAAATATAGCTTTATTAAATGACAAGTTTATTTATAAAATATATAGTAAGGGGGGTACGGGTTTTAAACACACTAAGGGTCTGGCAACCAGCAGAGCAAGTTATAATACTGTTACGAGCAATATGTGAAAAAATGGAGCATCTTAAAATATACGAATTTGATATGAAATTGTATTTGTTACCCAATATACGGTTTATGATCTGGTAGATAAGGAACCAAGAAAACTGTCTGGCATTTTAGGAAAGTCAGTTTGAGAGAACTCTCAATAATATATATAAATTTCAGCTTTATTAAAATGACGTAAGTTTATTTCTAAAATAGTATAGTTTAGGGGGGTTCGGCGGGGGGTTGGAACCACACTAAGGGTCTGGCAACGAGCAGAGCAAGTTATAATACTGTTACGAGCAATATGTGAAAAAATGGAGCATCTTAAAATAACGAATTTGATATGAAATTGTATACACCGTTGTTACCCAATATACGGTTTCAATGAGTCTGGTAGGATAAGGAACCAAGAAAACTGTCTGGCAATTTAGGAAACTCAGTTTGAGAGAACTCTCAATAATATATATAAATATCAGCTTTATTAAAATGACGTAAGTTTATTTATAAAATAGTATAGTTTAGGGGGGTCCGGCGGGTGGTTGGAACCACACTAAGGGTCTGGCAACGAGCAGAGCAAGATATAAATACTGTTACGAGCAATATGTGAAAAAATGGAGCATCTTAAAATAACGAATTTGATATGAAATTGTATACACCGTTGTTACCCAATATACGGTTTCAATGAGTCTGGTAGGATAAGGAACCAAGAAAACTGTCTGGCATTTTAGGAAAGTCAGTTTGAGAGAACTTCAATAATATATATAAATTTCAGCTTTATTGAAATGACGTAAGTTTATTTCAAAATAGTATAGTTTAGGGGGGTCCGACGGGGGTTGGAACCACACTAAGGGTCTGGCAACGAGCAGAGCAAGTTATAATACTGTTACGAGCAATATGTGAAAAAATGGAGCATCTTAAAATAACGAATTTGATATGAAATTGTATACACCGTTGTTACCCAATATACGGTTTCAATGAGTCTGGTAGGATAAGGAACCAAGAAAACTGTCTGGCAATTTAGGAAACTCAGTTTGAGAGAACTCTCATTAATATATATAAATATCAGCTTTATTAAAATGACGTAAGTTTATTTATAAAATAGTATAGTTTAGGGGGGTCCAGCGGGGGGTTGGAACCACACTAAGGGTCTGGCAACGAGCAGAGCAAGTTATAATACTGTTACGAGCAATATGTGAAAAAATGGAGCATCTTAAAATAACGAATTTGATATGAAATTGTATACACCGTTGTTACCCAATATACGGTTTCAATGAGTCTGGTAGGATAAGGAACCAAGAAAACTGTCTGGCATTTTAGGAAAGTCAGTTTGAGAGAACTCTCAATAATATATATAAATTTCAGCTTTATTAAAATGACGTAAGTTTATTTCTAAAATAGTATAGTTTAGGGGGGTCCGGCGGGGGGTTGGAACCACACTAAGTGTCTGGCAATGAACAGCGCAAGTTATAATAATGCTACGAACAATATATGAAAATATGGAGTTTCTTAAAATAACGAATTTGATATGATTTTTTTTACACCTTTGTTACCTGGTACCTGCCAGAGGAACCACGATCCAGGTTTCATATTTGGGGATCGTTCTTATGTGTTGGGGACATACATACAAGAACTTTCAGGTTTATTAAAATGACGTATGTCTGGCAGTCGTGGGCTCTTGGGCTACAAAGGCTATTACTCACTAAACGATTACTTGAATGACGAGCGTGCATGGCAATAGTTGTTCATGCACGGGATTTTCATTTAATGTTAGACATAGACACCTATATAAATACACATTGTAAATAAACTGGTTTAAAAAAAAAAGTAATTCAATTGAGTTTCTTGCCAGTTCTTCTCAATTGGATCTATATTCCGAATCGGACGGTAGGGAAAAAAATAAAATTCTCTCTTTCTTTTTAATCTATTCTATTCTACACTATTCTGAATGATTTGCGAACGCTTGGCTGGATGGATGGATGTTTGTTACTCTTTCACGCCATATCTAGTGAATGGTATTTAATGAAACTTTACAATAATATAACTTATACATCATAACATATAGGCTATAAATTTCATGTTTAGTCATCAATAGTATTTTCTGTGAGAGAAACAATAAAGAATTTCATTCATTCATTCATTCATTCAATTAAAAAATATACCTCAACAACTAACCCTGTATTTAACAAAATATATATCAAAAAGTCTGTCTGTCAATATTTATGTATCATCCACAAAACTTTGGATGAAACGTTCAAGATTGCCACCGCGGCTTGCACAAACCACAGATAAGGAACTGTCCCCCCACCTGTGTCCTATTTTCTCCCTGTCCCTGATGAGAGCCTCCTGAGCACTCTCCTTGTCAACGAAGTGCACGAAGGCCTCTCCCGAAGCCCGCCCCGTGTGGTCGGATAGCAAGTGTACCCCATCTACGGCGACTGTCAGTCCTGCCCCACCCGACGTGCAAATAAAGATATGGTTATGGTATTTGTAGGGCCCCTTTGAGTTCACTGTGGTCTATGGGCAATGTTATAGTTTCATCTTAATATTATAAACGCGAAAGTTTGTGAGTATGGATATTTATTACTCTTTCACGCAAAAAATACTTAACGGATTTTGATTAAACTTTACAGTAATATAACTCATGCTTCAGAATAACATATTATATTTTTTATTGAAATTAAAACGCGGATGAAACCGCGGGCACAGCTAGTATGGTATAATTAGGTATGTTTGTATTACGTGATATGAATAATTTTTTTTACACCTTCAGCTACGTTTACACTACGAATCGTTAAATCGGGCGCGTGAAAAATCGTGCCGTGTAAAAGCAACTAATGATTTAAAGAAATAGAAATAATCTTTATTTAAATAAACTTAATATAAGCACTTTTGAATAGTCAAGTTTTTTTATTCTACCGCTCATTCGGAATGCAGACTCATTACAAGAAGAATGAGCAAGAAACGTGTGTTGCTCTTTTAAATAAATATTGATTTACTTATATTTAATTAAGAACAAGGATTAGGCATGCGACAATCGACATAGAAACCGCTACGCACTTAATCTCTGTTCAATCAGATAACATTGTCAGCGCTATGAATTTTAAGTTAGATATCTTCTACAAAAACATTATTATCATTTATATTTTTTTTAATTAAACACTATTATTTAGTTAGTTGTTATTATTTCTTATAATAATATACTTTAGTACTAGATATGTGTACGATTTTGTAATCGTAGTTTTCTCTTTGTTACCCGATTGGAATAAAAGAAATTCTAAGTTCGAAATTGATATTAAATCTATATATATAACTCAAAGGTGACTGACATAGTGATATATAAAGGCACAGCCCACTGGACGGATCGGGCTGAAATTTGGCATGCAGGTAGATGTTATGACGTAGGAATCCGCTAAGAAAGGATTTTGATTAATTCTACCCCCAAGAGGATAAAATAGCAATTTTAAACTGATCGTAGATGTTCTATGACGTAGGCATCCGCTAAGAAAGGATTTTGATTAATTCTACCCCCAAGAGGATAAAATAACGCGAAATGAATAGCAATATCTTGATTTATGTTGTCTATAAAACTTCACATATATCTGTTGAATATAATTTTATTTAGAAATATGTAACTAGGGTAAATCTATAATTATTATCATTACATAGTATAAAACAAAGTCGCTGTCGCTGTCTGTCCGTCCCTATGTATGCTTAAGTCTTTAAAACTACGCAACGGATTTTGAAGCGGTTTTTTTAAATAGAGTGATTCTAAAGGAAGGTTTATATGTATAATACATGTACACCCGTCCGAAGCCGGGGCGAGTAGCTAGTATTCCTTTTCCTATTTTTTTTATTTTTACGATTTAAGGTCCTTCAAGACCGGACATATAGTTCATTTGGTTTCATTCGATAGAAATACATAAAAACCGATATCTATCAAAATACAAAACTCGTAGTTGATTTTAAGCGGACTGCAATGAATAGCCCGATTTACACTAATGTGTAATTTTTCTATGGATTCTTTCGATGATTTATTTTTGTCTATGGATGGAGTGCATAGAGAAAACGGGATGTAATGAAAAGTCCTACTTATACATATTACTTTATTTTTTTATAGTCAACCATAGACAAAACAAGAATTAAGGATGGACATGGATATATCTAGATGTCACCAAGTTTATGGTAAACCAAGCAAATGACTTGGATCACTTTGCTAGCTGGACATTGTCTGCCCGACCTCAGGATAGTGTGGAGGCGTGAAAGGGAAGGTTTTGCAAAGTGGAGAATACATATTAGGGTATTAAAACTAATGTTTCTCAGTATGAATGTTTGTCAATATGACCTTTTTTTTTATTAGGGGTTTTAGGCCATTGTCAGGTATTAAGTTAAGTTACTAATAATAATATTAGATATAGATTAAAGCTGTGGAAGACCTCCATAGAAGTAGTACTGTGACCTCAATGAACTAATGTGCTCACTCTTTTTTTTTTTAAATATCTTATTTCAAACCTAGGCCCATCAGGGACCAGAATTGAAGGATATTCTTAGGAGAGGTGGTTTTTATCTATTTTTGACCTTCCTTAATTCCTAAACAGGGTTTGATCAATTATAATTTCAAAAAGTGCTTAAATCAAGTTTATTTGAATAAATGATTTTCTATTCTATTCTATAATGCAGAATTATTTCATATAATTTTGTAGCTATCTGGTTCAAATATTTCTATTTGAACGAACTGAAATTAACTATATTCATATATCTTACGAATGAAATAAATGATGAAACAGATTCCTAAAATCTCAGAATATATGGTCACTTATAAAAATTTTATTCTGTTGCAAAATTAAAAGCCTATGCATATGTAGTATGACCATATTAAACTCAATAAAAAATGAGACAATAATTTTGTTTTTAAATAAACCATTCATTGAAAATTATTTATATTTATATATATATTCTATACTTCTATGTAATAAGTGATAAATTAAAATGTTACTCCTGACCACAGTGAAACAAAATACTCATATAGGGTACTTTCTATCCCCAAAAGGAACATTTGATGATTTCATTAATGGATTTCCTTTTCTAATTATTGAAAATGTTCTTACCATCAAAGAATTGTATGATTTCATCCTTGGAGCAGCCGAATGGCAGTCCTCGGAGTTTCACCACCCCCATATCATCAGAGATATTGGGTATGCCGTCGAAGCCGTTCTCGTTTTGTCGCATGGCATTTAGTGCCCACTCCATATCTTGGCGGTCGGTGGAGAAAACTGAAAAAGATTGGTACGATGTCTCTTTTTTAAATAATGTCTTTTTTATTTTAAATACAATTTTCCACAGACATTTTCGTCCGTGTCTTTTTTTAATTTACTTTAATATTATTATATTTCTTTAATTTCCACTTTTGTACAACTCCAGCCGAGATGTTACAATTTGCCTAACAGTGGCACCGAGGCAGACCTTATCCGTCTGGCCCAGAACCACCGCTGGCCGGCCGGGTGAGTTGACAACATGCAGTGTCACCTATCTTTATTTGGAGCCAGTTACATTTACTAATATGCATATACAATTATATAAATCTTACACTACTACTAATTTCACAGTTTTCACAGATGTCTCAATGTCTGTAATAGACAATATATGGTAGGTAACACTTTACGTTCATAAGGAGCTAAAATGTCCTACATGAATGAATGAATTTGAATATTGTGGTATCATTGATACTTGTCATATAGCAGAGCAGTATTTTTAAATACAAATATTTATACATGCAAATAGTCGAATCCTCGATCATTAGAAGACAATGTGCAAAACTGCTAAACTACCAAAGTCAAAATCGTATTTAAATACAATAAATAATTGCACCAGATCACACTCCTATGAGCTAGCTGGCCTCAAATCTCGGATCGAAATTACTATGGTCTAGGCTGTCATAGAACCACCCTAACAATACCCTTAGACTAGTTGAATCCTTCAGGCACAAGCCTGTCAGACTGCCAGGCGAGTCCTGCACACGTCTGGAGCACCCTCTGTACTCGCAATTATTTTGTGTTGTGAAGCAGTAAAGGCCAACCATAGGTAACAGCATGTGAATAGTATAAAAAATGGAGTTTAGGGTATTATTCCATCTTAATAACATTATAAATACAAAAATTTATGAGTATAGATGTATGGATGTTTGTTATTCCTTCACAAAAAAATTATGGAACGGATTTTGATGAAACTTTACAGTAGTATAGATTATCCATCAGAGTAATACAGACTATAAATTTCACATGAGCACATACATATGAATGCAACTGATTGGGATAAACAATACAATAAAAAATCCCCATTCTTACCTGGTACTGATTTTTTGTAAATTTCTAATTGTAGTAAAGTTTAGTGTTAAAAATATAAAGTAAAAACAACAAGATGACCAACTACTTGCAGTTTGTCATAAACCCCTGTGGGTCGATATAGACCACTTCAGCATTCAGAACCGAGCAGCCAGAATCATTGGTAATCAACGTCTATGTGACAGACTCGACCCATACAACTTACTTGATATTGCATCTCTGGTATTTTCCGGTGCTCATGGGCGGCGGTAATCACTTACCATCAGGTGAGCCGCATGCTCGTTTGTCCCTGTGTTATAAAAAAAACTAGCAATCACCGTACTAAAGCATACCTTCAATATATCTCTTCCCCATGTTTTCCTTATCCTTTTTCAGGGCCGCATCCACATCGTCTTGACTTTCCACCTCCACAAAGCATTCTCCTGAAGGTCTTCCTGGGCGGACCTCAGTCATATGCACTCCTGTAAAAAAATACATTATATTACAAGTATGAAACAGCATAAATAACACAACTGTTGTAAAGTTGCTTATGCTAGTATGGCCAATTATATTACAAGTATAAATTCAGTATAAATACCCTGTGTTATAAAAACTGCAATCACTGGTATGGATCCAATAGATCTCTTCCCCAAATGCTGTAAACCACTTTTCAGGCAAAATAAAGATATTTGTTGTTGTAGTTTATTCAAGTAATAAGAAAAAGACTAGGTAAACGGGGAAAAATATATATTAATATAGACTACTTACATATTAGAACAGAAAGAAGAAATTTGAAGTAACAAAAAAAGAATCTACAAAAGCAACTATAAATTTTAAATACAAATTTAGAATATAAAAATGTTTCTTCATTAGCCAGTTACAACATTGGTGTAAACTTTTTCAGGCAAATTAAAGATATTGTGTGTGTGTGTAGTTTGATGCAAAATAAAAAAAAGTTTTACTATCTATTTCTGTGTAAAAATATAATTATCTGCTCTTCCTTACCCCATTTGTTTGTGGTCACCGTAATATGTTTTTCTCTTCCATTCATACCTGTCAGTTCATCATTCTCAGTCAACAGTGTTAATATATAATTTGGATTTCATAACATATTTTTTTTATTCTGAATATGTTTTGTATCTGTACAATTTTAACAACCACTATTGGGATTGTCATAACTGAAATATCCGGATATTTCAGTTACCTGTTGTGTAGGGTGGAGAAAGAATAGTCCCCGACTAGTGGGTTCATTGCTGGTAATATAATTGACTATGCGGTCATCCACCAGGAACCAACACATGATAGAAACCATCATATTTTAGTATTTCAGTTATTTGGTAGTAAAATTCGCCATGCTGACCTCATCCTAATGAAATCATGCTTCACCGGCGGTTAGCTGCGCATATGGCAAATGGATGCTATATTATTCAATAAAAAAACGAATTACATTCAAGCTCCAGATTAAAATAAAAACATGGCAAATGAAAGCCATCTCTGATCAGCTTGGTTATAATAAATTGCCATTTTCTTGAAAACTCATAAAATATTTTTAAATTAAACATATTACCTTCTTTGCCATTGATGACATTGACGCCGTCGAGAAAATCTAGAACATCTTCAACACTTGTGGAGAAAGGCAAGCCGCGTAGCTTTACTATGTGGCTACTGTCCCCCGACCCCAACATCATTGAGTCTGCTCAGTGCAAAGAAGTTGTGATGACAATATTTTACAACAGAATTAAAAAACAAAGTTTTCAGTATCACTACGACACAAAAATAGAAAGATTTTATAGAAATCAATGAATTATTTTTTTGTTTTTATAGCGTCACAAATTCCTTTCAACGAATGAATGAAACGAAATGAAGGAAAAGAACTGAATTGAATGAAGGACGAGAACGAATCAAACAAAAAATGCTTAGGATGACTGACTGAACTGACATAGAACGGACAGTATAATGACATTACATTAAAATTGGCATATTTATTTCATTCACTGCACAGAGTACATACCTTTAATTTCATTTATCTTCTATAATTATATTCTTGCTTTTTTGCAAACATCGAGTAAAAAATTATTTAAAATATCAAATTATATACTGAATTCTTTTGTTAATGTCGTAGATCTGCTGCATTTTAAATAGGTGGTGGATATCCGTTGCAAAAATGACTGTAGACGGGGACGAGAAGCCTGTAAACGATCGCGTGTTCATGGACATTTCCATTGGCGGTTTGCCTTCCGGTCGTATAGTCTTCGAATTATTCAACGATGTGGCTCCAAAAACGACTGAGAACTTCCGTGCCTTATGCGCTGGAGACATGGGAGTTGGGAAGGTTACCGGGAAACCTTTGACGTACAAAGTAAGCCCAAAAAATTGTTTTTTTCATGGATGGTTATGGTATGGTACACCCGCCTATCGGTTTACGCTGGCGGGGCACCAGTGGAGGACGATAAGATGAGCATGAGTCAGGTCAGTTTGTCCATCGTGTTCGTCCGTGGTGGAGGTCGACCTAATATGGTACATTGCTGGCAATGGGGTCACTGGACCCCATTACTAACAATTCCCTTCCCCCCGACCCCTAAGATTATGTTTGTTGTGCAGATAAGTGTCAGACATTGAAATAGTAACAACCTGATTTAACAGAGGTAAATGGCTATGAAACTATTCATAGAAATGACAATCTGTATTAAGTCCTTGTTGGTAGTTCACATCTTTAGCGGCTATGTTGGGGCCGCTATTATTTTTGTTTGTAATGTGTTCCATGTATTGTGGCAGCAGCAGGAAAGGAGGACATGGAATGATGAGTCCAAATTGGCTATGTACATATTTATAATAATTAAAAGTATTTACAATGGATATATATGTATGTATAAGAAAGCTATTCAGTCTCGAATGACAGTCCTGTTATTTTATTGCTCTGTCGTAGCTAGGCAACGGTGTTGCCGCACTATAATAGTAAATTCGCCACACATCTAATTCATCTGGCAAACAGCTTGCTTTATAATCAACTAGTGGTCCATTCTGGCTTTGCACATATGTGTTGCAAATCTTTTAATTTCTCAGCTTGTTTGATGCACATGAACATGCATGTATTGTACATATAAACCTTCCTCTTGAATCACTACATCTATTGCTGAAAACTGCATTAAAATCTGTTGCATAATTTAAAAGATATAAGTGATCAGACAGTAGTGGCTTGATTGTGTTATACTATATAAAGATGAGTAAAGCAGATTAAAGAATAAAAACTAAAGTATGACATCTAAATCCTCCAGGATGAGAAGTTGTGAATAGTATCATGGGCATCCCATGATTATATGATAATCATAGTGCTGATCATATTAGATTTCTGCATTTTTGATAACCTTTTTAATACCACTTTTATCTCGACTGAAGTTGAGTTATATGTGAAACTTACTGACCTGCACAACTTCATCTGTGTTTCATTTCCCCTTTGCAAAATTTTAACCTTTTTCAATATTTTTCATTGCAGATCCGCTCCTATTGGTCGTAGTGTAATGTTATATAGCTTAAAGCGTTCCTCAACAAATGAACTATCCAACACAAAAATAATTTTTCAATTCGAACCAGTAGTTCCTGAGATTAGTTCATTCAAACAGACAAACAAACTTTTCAGCTTTATAATATTAGTATAGATTTATACTGTTGTTTACTGTAATACTATTTTGTTTCCAGGGTATGGTCTTCCACCGTGTTGTGAAGGACTTCATGATTCAGGGGGGAGACTTTACCAATGCTAATGGAACTGGTGGGGAATCCATATATGGTGGTACCTTTGAAGGTTTGTGGCATGTTTGATATTTGTAATCTATCTATATACATAAAAATTAATTGCTGTGAGAATGACTTAACCAATTTGTCTAATTTTACTCTTGAAATATTTGTGGAAGTCCAGGGAAGGTTAAACGGGAATAAAATATCAAGAAATTGCATGTGAAATAGCAAAAACAACAATTATATTTTCCAATACAAACTGCTGATACCTGTCAAACTAAACTTCAAAAATCCTTTGACATATTTAATTTTAAGGCAGAACAGAGTTTGCGGGGTCAGCTAGTTCCTTTATATTTTTATTACTTTATATTAGAATCAGTCTTACAAGCTATAGTCATATTAATAATGTTTTCAGATGAAACATTTGAATTGAAGCATGATCGGCCATACTTGTTGTCTATGGCAAATAGAGGCAAAGACACCAATGGATCACAGTTCTTTATGTAAGTTTGTGACAGGAGAATGGTAAGATGGGGACAGATTAATCTAGAAATTAAATAATAATATATTTTTAAACAATATATTATCACTTAAACTATTTTTCTTATTCACACATCGCCATCTAGTTCCAAATGAAACTGAGCTATGGGTATTAATAAGAAATAATAATTATTTTTTTTGTTAATTCTTATACATATAAAGTTCATTCATTCATAATTTAAGAGCTACGCTCTTGTCGGCGGAGCTCTTGCCACTCCGCGATCTTCCATTATGCTCTTTAATTCTTGATACGACACGACTCCCATTTTGTCCTCAATTTGTTTGATGTAGCTATGCCTTGGTCTTCCCCTCCCCCTCTTTCCTTCTATTTTCCCCTCAATAATAATTTTCATGAAATCATCGTGCCATATATGAAGTAAGCTACAACAAATAATCATAATCTTTCATATAGAGATGAAGTATTCAGACAAAATGATGATACTCATGAATACTCATGAAACTCAAATTGTGTCTATCGAGAATTGAACCTGGGACGATCAGAAGTAAACAAAATTATGTAAATGGTGATGGTAAATGGTAATTTTAGTTTAAATTGATTATTAGTTCTTGAAGCATCAGATACGTTAGATCTAATGTATTTGATGAAGGAGAGGTATGGAGGGTTTATTGAGGAAATTTATGAAGATAATTAAAATAAAGAACTTGTATGATTTATTAAATTGTTACATAAAAGGATATATTAAAAAATATTATTAAATTTAAAAACATAAATGTATCAAGTAACGAATGCTGCAGTTCTCACGATAAAAAAAATCAAGTAAAAATTCAATACAATGATCTAATAATATTGAATTTTTACTCCATCTATCTAGAAATAGCGGCAATTTATTTCCTAGGTAAAGGTAGGGGAGCACTCTCCGCGATATCAAGCTATAAAAACATAATAATTTGAATTAATTGTATAAAATAATTTATCTCCATCAAGTAGTCATTATTATATTATATCGAAGTACGTACTATTTTGCGGAAGTCTATTCCGCAAAAAGGTACCTAATTGTATAAAATATAAAAATGACTTGACGTTAATATGGCCTGCACGTCGTCGGGCCTGGTCCTCGAATCCTCGCGGGCCAGGCCCGGGGCCGGGCCGCGGACGTGACGCTGGTGTTGTGTACGTTGCGTAGAGGGCGGTGCGGGCGGCGCGTGCAGCTGGCCCGCTATCATTCTTGTTGTGTTCTGTGTGTTGTAGAACAACACAGCCGGCGCCGCATCTCGACAAGTGAGTATACCACTTTATTATCATCTGCTTCTTCCTTATCCCAATTATTTGGGGTCGGCGTAATATGTTTTGCGCTTCCATTTATCCCTGTTCGCAGTCATCGCGTTATTTACTTCCTTTCTTACCATATCATCTTTCACACAGTCCATCCATCTCTTTTTCGGCCTTCCTCTGCCCTTATAACCATCCACATTCGTATGTAACACTTTTCTTAAAATATTATCCTCGTTCCTACGCATTACATGTCCATACCATGATAGACGATTACTCTTCAACCTCTCTGACACCGGTGCCACTTTCATACTACCTCTAATGTATTCATTCTTTATCTTATCCATTCTTGTCACACCACACATCCACCTCAACATTCTCATTTCAGTTGCATGCAGTCGTCTTTCATCCGTCGCCTTTATCATCATAATAATCATAATCATTAACATAAGTAATTAATTATTATAATATCTATGACTGTGTAAATGGTTAGATAATACATCCTCGTTAAATTCCAACGGGGATTGAAATTACGACAGGCTTAGTTATGGTTCGAATCCTTAGCCATACAGACAGCCAGACTAAAGTCATATTTGTCAGGCAAGAGTGGCCTTCAGCCGCTCCATAAGTGCTCCCGCGAATTTGAAGTGCTCTGCACTCGCCCCCTATCGTTCTGTGAAGCTGTAAAGGCCAGATCAGGCCACCAGCATTAGAATAGTAATAAAAAGATGCTGTGGCTTATGGAACTGCATGCTAATATGATAGGAGAAAGTGCATGATAGCTATAATGTGAATATGTTGAATACAAGTTGGTGTCTGTTTGTCCATCAGTGTGCACGTAGTGTTCGGTCACGTGGTGGGCGGCGCGGCGCTGGTGAGGCAGCTGGAGGCGCTCCCGGTGGATCGCAACGCGCGGCCCCTGCAGGACGTCGCCGTCAGTGGCTGCGGACAGCTGGTGCGGCTGCGGGCAGGTCGGTACACTGGCACCACACCCCACAGTACAACGCGCGGCCCCTGCAGGACGTCGCCGTCAGTGGCTGCGGATAGCTGGTGCGGCTGCGGGCAGGTCGGTACACTGGCACCACACCCCACTGTGACCCGCCCCCCTGCAGGTCGGTACACTGGCACCACACCCCACTGTGACGCGCGCCTCCTACAGGTTTGATAGACTGGCACTGCACCTCACTGTGACCCGCCCCTCCTACAGGTTTGATACACTGGCACAGGTTTGATTCACACGAGTTGACTCTCGAGTGGTTTATAGCCGAGTGAGCCGAGTGAGAAATTCAAGTTGTGACAAGTTTACCCGCTGTAGGTTCTTTGAAATTACGTAGAAATCTGTTTGTGTGAGTTGTTACTGTTTAATGTTTTGGTTATTTATGACTGTGTGTTATTAGCAAGTAGTGAAAATTAGTAAAAGTGTGAAAAAAGCAATTGTGTGGTCATTTTTGATAAAAATTTAGATTTAAAAACCGTTATTTGCAGGTTTTGCAAAAATAGAGATTTTGGTAATACAACTAACTTGATTTCCCACATGAAAAAAAGTTTTATACTCCAAGTGACTCGAGTCAATAAAAATCACTCGAGTTTTATCTTCACTCGAGTGAGAAAGTTACCAGTACCGAGTGACTCGAGTCCCATCACTAAAGAATAGAATAGAAAATAATTTATTCAAATAAACTTACATTGAAGAACTTTTGAATAGTCATTACATTTTTTAATCTACCGCTCGTTCGGAAAGCTGTCTCATCACAAGAAGAACGAGCAAGAAACTTGCGTGTTGCTCTTTTAAATAATTTTATTATTACTTTACATTTTTAAGTTTAAGTGTGTGAATACAAACCACCAATTAGCACTAATTCAATTAAATACTCAAATAGAAAAAATATTGAATATATAAATATTGGTTATGTCAGGTATTGACCGGACTGTTTGCCAATCAATACCCTTTCAAGAGAAATCTTGTTTCCGTTGAGGATAGATTACGTCTGTCAGAACAAAATTGATGATGTTATAACACTACAAGCCAAAACGAAAACGTAGCGAGTTCTACTTTTAAACTACCGCCATCTATTGACGTAATAAGGAACTAATAATAATAACCCTGAACAATTCACGCAAGGTAAGCAGAGCTTGTGTTAGACAACTGATATAAATATTTTTGTGTAAATACATAGAAACCATCCAGACCGATACAAACAATCATACTTAAATATATATACAAACAATCATACTTAAATATATATATATATATACTCATACTTAAGAATAATGTTTGTAGCGTGCGAGGATTTGAACCCGCGACAACCATTGAGGCCGTCATAAACTGACTAACTAATTGCAATAAACAGTGAAGGTATTCTGTAAATCTATACATATAAATTAAATTGGAGTGTCTGTTTGTAATATTGAAATAACCGTTGTTTACTACATGCAGATGAATATAAATACGGTATATACACCAAAATAACATTTTTTACAATTTTTGACTGTCTGTTTGTTCCGGCTAATCTCTGAAATACCAGCTATTTCAGAGATTAGCCAATTTTGACGAGACTTTTTGGCAGGTAACTTAGTAACAGTAAGAAGGAGTAACTTAGGCTACTTTTATTTAAAAAAAATAAAGTTAAATTCCACGACGAAGTCACGGGAACAGCTAGAGTTTAATATAGCATAATAATATATATGTATATATATTATATAGTATAATAATGATAATAATTGTTAAAATTATACAATTTATTGTTGTTTGAAAAAATGGTAAACATGTTCTATATTGTTCATGTGAAGTTAACCTACGAAATATATATATGTATTATATTGTGATAATATATTTATTACATATGTAAATTGTCTGTAAAAATACTACACACAAAATACTAAAATAAAGAAATAAAATCTATGCCACTAGTGAGAAAAGAATTATTATCAATTAAAAATTAATACTTTCATGATTGTTCTTAATATATATATTTGAAAAATATTTTAAATACGTTAAGCATTGTTTAGGTCCTCCATTACATATACAAATAAAACCTTTTTTCTTTTTAGTTTTGCTAGCTGTTACCCCCGACTTTGTCTCTATTTCACCCCTTCAGGATTATTTTTTGAGACGAAAGAATATCTCCTCGTGATATAGTCTATTTTTCATATGTTCAGCCATTACAAGACAGACAAGACAGACAGAAACTACTAATGGTATCGATTTGCCTTATGGTAATTATAAATATGTTAATTTACAGGTAAGAAGCGTAAGCAGGAGAAGGAAAAAGAGAAGGAGGACAGTGATGCGGACTCGGAGCACTCGCACAAGAAGGATAAGAAGAAGAAGAAGGACAAGAAGGAAAAGAAGAAGAAGAGGTAATTATTATTAATTAATATTATAACTAGCTGTCCTGGCAAACGTTTTGCATATGAATTAATAACGCTATAAAAAATAGGGGTTGGTGATAGAAGGGTGAAAATTTAGAGTTGTATGTATTTTTTAATGACACATAATAAAAAATAGAAATAAATAATTTACCCAAAAATTAAAAAAATAATGTTAGGGGTGGACAACCCTTATCACTTAGGGGTATGAAAAATAGATAGTAGCCGATTCTCAGACCCACTGAATATGCAGTTTCAGAGGAGTATGGTGACTTAACATTGTGACACGAGAATTTTATATATAAGATTTTACTGTGCACATAATATTTGTACAAAATTGTTACACTACAGACAACATTCCGGACCATCAGCAGACGAGGAGGAAACCACCGACCAACCCTCGCATCCCCTCGTGACCACCTCCAAGATCGACCCTCGAGATATTCCTGACGTGCCCACCAACCGGTTCCTCATGAGAGGCGGCCGCGACCAGGACAACAGAGAACGGAACGACCCGAGGAGGGACAGAGAAAGGTATAGTGTTAGAGAAGCCCCATCCGATCGATCCCCCGTCCAAGTCAAACGGGGACATACCGACAGTCGTATCCGTCAAATTATTTCAGCCGTTATTCTCTAAATTGATGATACTCTGCATTTATTTCTTTGCAGTTTTTGTCAATTTTTACAGTAAATTTAGTATAACATAAATATTATGTTCATTAATTATTATTTTTAATGCTAAAATAATATTGAATTAATATAATGTTAAAACTGCTATGCGAAATATGAAAGTATTGAAAATAAAAATTATATATTCTTTGAAAATATTTATGACTGTCATGACCCGCGATATAAACTTTGTCTGCGTTAGAGAATTTTTATATGATTAAATCCGCTCCTATTGGTAACGACGCGTAAATGTTATATATGCGGCGTTATATTGCATCTCTGTTCATTTTCTACCGCATATATCACGGGGATTTCCTCGACAAATGGACTATCCCAACACAAAACTGAAATACCATTTCATTATGAACCAGTAGTTCCTGAGATTAGTTCATTCAAACAGACAAACAAACTTTTCAGTTTCATAATATTCCAGTTCCGAACGTATTCCATTTAAATTTAATTTATTTAATATATTATAAAGTTGAAGAGTTTGTTTGTTTGCGGGTGCTCATGGGCGGCGGTAATCACTCCATCAGGAATGCTGTTTGTCCCCTGTGTTATATAAAAAAAAACATATAAATTAAATTGGAGTGTTGTTTGTAATATTGAAATAACCGTTTTTGATAGATGATAGATATTTGGAGATATTTAATTTAATTGACGACCTCGGTGGTCTAGCCATCAAGCACACCGCTTTACGACCGATGGTCGCGGGTTCGATTCCTCGCACGGCACAAACATTTGTATTCATGAATATGATTGTTTGTATCGGTCTGGGTGTTTTCTATGTATAATATGTATTTACAAAAAAAAAATCTATGTATTTGTATCAGTTATCTTATTAATTTTACAAACTTTAGCTAAAAGTATTCTTTAGTCTAGATGGCGCTGTGTGAATTTTTTGGGACTATTATTATTATTGTTATATATTTAAGATATACATGTTATTTTATTTGAATGGCATATTATTTAGATAAATGTAATGAACCGAAATATTTATTTTATTTTTAATGTTATATGTAATTATTTTCTGTCCATTACATTATTATTTTTCCGCTAGAGAGATCGCCATTCGTATACCCGCAGTATTAGGATTATCAAAGGCCTTTTAGTATTTGTAAGTATATCTCTTATTATAATACCCTGCGAACTCCATATCACATTTTATTTTAATGCGAAACCATTCTGTCTGTCTGTCTCGAATTCAAAATTCCAAATTACTACTGAACCATTTAAATGTCATAACTATTTTTACACAATTACTTTATCAGTTTTAGACCTCATCACAAGATAAATAGTGTGTACGTTTTAAAGCAAAAAGTTTTGTATTCAGGAAACGTCGAATATAAACTACCAACCAATATTTTAAACGATGTTATTTTATATTAATATTATGTTGTTTTATAGGCTGTTGATTAAATATAAATAAATATTTCATTCAGAATGCGTTTCCGGGAGAGAGATCGATTCTTAATGCAGTGGTAGGATAAAAGGCCGGGTGTGTATTTGTAAATTCGTAATTTTTATCCATTAGAATGATGACACTTTTTATCGAGTCGAATTTCTTGAATGTTTGTTCTTTGTTTTCGTGCTAAATCGCTGGTCACTGTTCCATACGGACAGTTTAATTCAGGACACAGAGACATAGCTAGTAGTTCATAAAAAAATTGAATTGTCCTATCATATCTGCCATTAGGTGTTAAGTCCGCCATATGTACTTTTTACCTGTGTATGACGTGCAATAAAGTTATTTAAATAAAATAAATAAATTATTATTGTTATTAAGATTATTTATATAATAAAAGAGTAGAATAGAATAATATTTATTACTATCACACATCACAACACAACAATGTCGATGCTCAAGCAGCATATAAATTATTATAAATTTAAATAGAAATAACAAATACAATACAAATCATTAAGAGAAAAAAAAATTAAATAAAAAAAAATAAGAATAATATACATCTTCCTGAGGAATTCACACAGCGCCATCTAGTCCCAAGCTAAGTAGAGCTTGTGTTATGGGCTAGACAACCGATATATAATACATGGATACATTATTTTTTGTAAATAAATACAGATTATATATATAAACACCCAGTTTGTATGAAACAATCATAATGACTCATGAATACAAATGTTTGTGCCGTGAGGGACGGGACATTGAGGTCCCAAAATATCGGATAGTGAAAGCAGTGTGCTAAACCACTTAGACCACCTTGTAGGGAATGGTCTGTCATAAATTTAGACTAATATAGTTAATATTTGTATTTATAAGTATATTTCTAGTTCTAATATATGTTTTTGTATACTGTGATAGCGTTACCGCACTCCGTCGAGATCGCGGTCCCGTTCTCGTTCAGTGACTCCGCCCCACTGGCGGCAGGCGCAGCGGAGAATCATCAAACTCTCAGAGTTCGAGGTAACACCTTCAAATATTTTTACAATAGCTGGACTTTTTTTATATAATGTAATGGTGCACCCGTCTGCGCTAACGGAGCACGCTGGCGGGGCATCAGTGGAGAATGATTAGATGAGCATGAGGTCATGTCAGTTAGCTATATCAGTATAAATTCTTGGAGAAGTTGTCATTTGTGTACCTAAATGTATATAGTTATAATGTAATTGCGGTGCCCCTACGGGGAATCACACGTTTTATGTACTTCTTATATTAATAATACTACCTTTTGCTCGCTCGCGTTATATTATCCCCTTAGGGGTGGAATTTATCAAAATCCTTTCTTAGGGAATGCCTACGTCATATATATACATACGGGCGAGTAACTACTATAGAATAAAATTAGATTATATTTAATTAGATTTTGAAGGGAAGACCTGGTGTCTAAGCTATAGCCTAGTTTGGGCTATAGCTATAGCTTAGTTTGGGCTCCAGATTTCCCACAAATTATATTTGTGATTTTTATTGTTGGCATTTATATAATAAAACTGGAATTATGTAATTTTTGGAGATGAAATAAAATATATGTATTATTAAAAAAAAATCACGTATTTAAAGATAATATTTCTATTTAAGTGTTATCGTTCCAAATAACTTTATTTATTTGACCCAATATTGGAATATATATTTTCTTTCGACATTTTATTATAGGGAATCATTATGATAAATATATCATCTTGTGAGGAGATTATTAATTATCTGAATATTATTATTATCCAATCGCGACACATACAAAAGTAATAACTGTAAGTATCATTATGAAGTCTGTAGTTAACCTAGAAACTATCGTAGTTAATTTGTGAGTTACTTACTTAACTGATTTCGTTCTAATATTTTTGTCCTTTGCTGCCCGCCAGCGTGTACCATTTGCTCAGGTGAGATTACCATTCAATCAAAATAACCCCAGAATCTAAATTAAAAAAATATGATTAAGAGTCTGTTCAGGTTACGGCCACTGATTAAATTTACCATTTTTTTATACTACTATGGTGGCAAACAAGCATACGGCCCATCTGATGGTAAATGGTTACCGTAGCTTATGGACGCCTGAAACACCAGGGGTGTCACGTACGCATTGCCGACTCTTAAGAAACCTTAATATACACTTCTTGAAAAACCCCATGCTGTAGTCTCGTGAGAAAACCTCGGCAGGTAGTTCATTGCACAATCAAATTCAAAATATCTTTATTCATGTAGGTCTATTACAGACTCTTATGATATGTCAAATCTACCGTCAGTTCGGAATGATTTCGAAATGAGAAGAACTGACAAGAAACTCAGCTCGTATTCTTTTCAAATAAATGTTGTACATGTTTACAATAATACAGATTCATTTTTAAATTAAAATTTATTATTAATATGTTACAGTGCAGTGTTACTTTCCGACTAAACCTGTATATAACATATGTACTTATTACTGACTTACGCAGATTTATTATATACAAATGTTGTTTTTTCGTTCTTTTCTCTTACCTAAACCACTGTGCCGTGTTTGATGATTTTTGGTATAGCCATAGATTTAATTGATCGTCATTTGGACCTTTTCTTGAGAAAATTAATATTGAAAAGGGCAATAAATTTCTCAAGATTCAAAACTCATCATTAAAATAAATAAGAACACCTTTTATAAGTGTTTGATTTACTCAGACAAATCTGGAGACTAATTCTAATTGCACGCGGGAGGAAGCTCCTCTGAAACCGCACTGTCTGAAACCACTTAGGTTCTAGCGTGTGGGGATGAATTCCTTGACTACCTTTAGATAAAACTGCGAACAGGGATGAATGGAAGAGAAAAACATATCACGCCGACCACAAATAAATGGGGTAAGAAAGAAGCAGATGATGATGATAAAAATGCAATAGCATATGCTGATCACTACATTCGGCCTAATTGAATTAAAAAATGAATCTGTGCTTTGTAATCATGTTTAAGTTCATTTGGAAAGAATAGGTGCTGTCTTTCTTGTCAGTTCTTAGCTCGAAGGCACTCTTAACTGACGGTAGATTTGACATATTCTTTATAAGAGCACCGTGCGTTGGCTTACTACTCTAATTTTAACCCAAATGTTGTCAGTTCGAATCTAGTCGACAGCAAAAATCTTTGTCGGTTTATATTTCTTCTCTCTGGTGAGAGATAGCGGTAGATTTGCTTCTGCTATGTTGGTTTAAAATATACTGAGCGAAATAGTAATATAATGTATGTACCGAGCGAGGAATCGAACCCGCGATCATCGTATCTAAGGCGTAAGTGCGTTACAGCAGTGTCGACAATTGTACTGACTACACCCCATCTGGAATGCCTACGTATTGTTTAATAATTTTGTATAAAAACTAAAATGATGACTGATAATTAATTTTTAATCTTATTATTTTAGTACGGTTTTGTTCATTGTTAACATCAGTTTAGCGGTGTATATATATATATATATACACCGCTAAACATATATATATTAGTAATATTTGTGGTTACTTACAGCGTGTAGAACAAGAGCGCAGCGAGAGGGAAATGCTGGAACAACGCAACAGACCTACTGAACGACCGCACAGTGAGTAAACAGACTGTAGTATATATACCTACAGCGATACCGAGCGATCCCCGTACAATACAAACGGGAATCGAAATTACGATGGCCGAGGTTCGAACCCGTAGCGGTGCCCTCAAATTCTCTAGGATAGTACTGAGGCTGATGAAAGGCGCGCCGACCCTACCACGTGCAAAATCTATAATCATTACATAGTATAAAAGAAAAAGTTGCTGTCGCTGTCTGTCCGTCGCTATGTATCCGCTTTAAAACTACGCATCGGATTTTGAAGCGGTTTTTTTAATAGAGTGATTCAAGAGGACGGTTTATATATATAATAGATGTACATCCGTGCGAAGCCGGGCCTAGTAGCTAGTGTTAAATAGTAAATAAGCGTTTGCCTCAAGAAAAAAGTTCAGATTTAATTAATTAAAAATAGAAAACAATAAAATCATAACTATCTTTAATGATAGCATATTGTGGATGGAGACCAAGATGACGAGCAAAAAGTAAAACGGCACCCTAGTAGTTGTAGAATATTTTTGTATTAAATTGACTTATGTCATATAAAAACAATATAATATTATAAAAAATATAGACAAAAAAGGTATATAAAATAGTTTCTGTATAAAGGTATATAGAATGGTCTGAAATAGTTTTTGTTACTTTTTATTTTTCAATTACCGACCTCCGTATTTATAGACCAAAGTCAGTGTAGTAGGTTGGACTATAAATATTAGATGGCGCCCCCGTGTGTGAAACACGGGGGCGGTGCGATTCCTTAGTCACATCTACATGTACATTTACATTAGTAACATAAAATGCAAACTACCTTCTTTTGATATATTAAAATAAGTCAGAATCTTTATTAGTTTGTACCATATTAATAATTTAATTTTTAGGTATATTTATTAAAAAATTAGCTTATAATTGAATATGTGGTTCTCCAGGTGAAGAAGAAGGTGGCACTCCTGAACAGCCCAGGGAGAGAGAGGAGGGAGAGATTGATTCTTCACATGGTATGCATTTTTTTATTGGGTTGTTTGGGCTATTAACAGGTGTTAAAACCTGTTAGCATTGCGACCTACACAGATCTATTGTGCTCGCCCGTTTTTAAAGTTCGCTACCTAGACCCGTCAGGGACAAGAATTGAAGGATATTCTTAGGAGCGATGGTTTTTATCTCCTCAGGATAGACTGTATACTTTACAAAGGAGGGCGGACTCTTGTCAACCGTTTAGGTTTTTTTTATTGAGGAGTTTGGGCTTTTGGCAGGTGTTAAAACCTGTAGCACTACGACCTCTATAGATATTATGCTCGTCCTTTTTCAAAGTTCGTCACCTGGACCCGTCAGGGATAAGAATTGGTATGTACTAACAATAATATGTCAGGACAATTCACAGCGCCATCTAGTACCAAGATAAACAGAGCTTGGGTACAACTGATATCAACATGTATTGTTAATTTATTATATGTATTATTAAAGCATATTAGTGTTGAAATATTTACCATAAGTTAGGTAAATAACAAACATGTGCCTTTTACCATAACTGCTTTTCTACCGCTTTATGTGTTTTATACTACTATGGTGGCAATCAAGCATACGGCCCATCTGATGGTAAATGGTTACCGTAGCCTATGAACGCCTGAAACACCAGGGGTATCACATGCGCGTTGCCGACCCTTAAGAAACCTTAATATACCCTTCTTGAAAAACCCCATGCTGTAGTCTCGTGGAGAAACCTCGGCAGGTAGTTCATTCAACAATCTAGGTGTACGCGGGAGGAAACTCTTCTGAAACCGCACTGTTCGGGACCAGTTAGGTTCCAGTGTGTGGGGATGAATTCCCTGTCGATGGCGAGCGGTGCGGTGGTATAAGGTGGCTGTCGGCATCATGTCGAACAATTCCTCAGAACACAGTCCGTTGTATAATCGGTAGAACACACAAAGCGAGGCGGAGTCTCGCCTCAGGCTGAGTGGCTCGATACCGCCAGAGAGATTTGATGTTTTGACTAAAAGATTAGCTGGTAGAGAATTCCATATTGCATTAAGCTCACCAATTGTATTCATTTTAAATATTGCAATAAAAAATAAATACAAATAATATATTTCTTCTTCTTCATCTTATATATACATAGACAACCAGACCAGAACTAACAAACAATCATACTCATAAATACAAATGTTCGCATCGTACGGTATATCGAACCGGCGACCTTCGGAAGTCAGGTGGTGTGCTAAATGGCTACACCATTGAGGTCGTGAATATGTAATATTAATAACAATTATATCAACAGAGAGATCCCGCCACGAGAAGATCGACTACAACGCTCTGGACTTCGAAGAGGACGTGGAACATGAGGGTGAGTATTATAGATAGATATAGATAGTTTATTTTATTTATTAGGACTAACAAACAGTAATACAATATTTTATGTATATACAATTTTTGCCCGTGGCTTCGCTTATTCGTTAATTTATCCCCTTAGGGGTGGAATTTATCAAAACCCTTAGGGGATGCCTACGTCATAGTAGCTTTATTTATGTATGCAAGTCTCAGCCCGATTGGTATAAAATTGTCAAAGTTTCATACAAAGTTTCATCCCCTATTTTATCCCCTTGGGGGTAGAATTAATCAAAATCTTTTCTTAGCGGATGCCTACGTCATAACATCTACCTGCATGCCAAAATTCAGCCCGATCTCTTCAGTGGTTTGGGCTGTGCGTTGATAGATCACTATGTCAGTCAGTCAGTCTCCTTTGAGTATATAACTCAATATTTAAATGTGATAAGGTGAAATATTACTAAAGGAAATTTATATAAATATGCAAATTTGTTTACAGAAGTAGTGCTGAACAATAATTCATTATATTTTACTAGCTACTCGACCCGGCTTCGCACGGGTATACATGTATTATATATGTATAAACCTTTCTCTTGAATCAGTCTATTTATCAAAAAACACCGCTCCAAAATCTGTTGCGTAATTTTAAAGATTTAAAACCTTTTTTTTTATTATTTTTTCTTTATATTTAAAGTACTTGTCAATATAACAGTTGCACTAAATCTATCTATTGTAATTTTGTATCATTACATAGCATAAAATAATGTCGTTGTTTGTCCGTCCTTAGCTTAAATTTTTATTATATATATAATACATGTACCCGTGCGAAGCCGCGGCGAGTAGCTAGGAATAACATACGAGGTGGAATTTCAGCAAGAGTAGCTGAAATTCCGCCTCGTTTTTTTTTTTTTTCGGACTACTCTAATGCTGTTGGCCGTAGCTGGCCTTTACAGCTTCACCGGACGTTAGGGGGCGAGTGCAGATGGCACTCCAAACCAAGGAAGGACTTATGGCGCGGCTGAAGGCCAACTTCCGCCTGACGGATACGACTATAGTCTGAGGGCACCGCTAAGGGTTCGGACCACGGCTCAGGCCGTCGTAATTTCGATCCCCGTTTGAATTGGACGGGGGATCGATCTGTGTTATGACCATCATAACGCACTTATATCGTAATATATTATTATGGTCGTAGAGGAAAGAGCATCCCACAAGCGGCGAGCGGAGCGCGAACAAGCTCGCGAGCATGCTCGGCGACATGTACAGCGGCCTGCGACCGAGCATCGTGCTGACATGCTCGCACTCGCGCTCGGCGTGCAGCCCAAGCATGACAAGCACGATCAGCACAGGTAATAGAATATATCTTAATAATATTAGAAACAGGAAAGTTTGTGAGTATGAATGGATGTTTGTTACTCTTTAATGCAAAAACTAATTTTTATGAAACTTCACATTTATATAGCTTATATATCAGAATAAAAGGCTGTGAATTTCATGCGGGTGAAATCGCAGGAACAGGTAGTTAGAATAAGTTTAAAAAATAGGTTATAAATATTATTTTTGTATAGTAACCGTAAAGGTGACGGATGATAGACAACTGCATGCAACTGAAATGCGAATGTTGAGGTGGATGTGTGGTGTGACAAGAATGGATAAGATAAAGAATTAATACATCAGAGGAAGTATGAATGTGGCATCGGTGTCAGAGAGGTTGAAGAGTAATCGTCTATCATGGTATGGACATGTATTGCGTAGGAACGAGGATAATATTTTAAGAAAGGTTACATATGAAAGTGGATGGTTATAAGGGCAGAGGAAGGCCGAAAAAGAGATGGATGGACTGTGTGAAAGATATGGTGAGAAAGGGAGTAAATAACGAGATGACTGCGAACAGGGATGAATGGAAGAGAAAAACATATTACGCGACCACATACAAATGGGATAAGAAGCAGATGATGAGTAACCTGATTTTTATCTGTCAATTCGGTCTCCAAGGTTAAAACGCAAACTTTAAATGTATATTTCTGTAGTAACAATTCAACTGACAGTTAATTTTCGTCCGTGATTAAAAAACATAGATGTAAGAAGTTTTTTTTAAACTCAACTGAGGATTATTTTCCGTTGGCCGTAATCAGCGCCCCCCCGCACCGCGAGCCCCGCGAGTGGCGGCGGGAGGCGGCCCCCCGCCTGCCGTCGGCCGTGGCCCCCGCGCCGCCGCCGGGCCCCGCCGCCGCGCCGGGCCCCGCGGGCCCCGTGCGCCCCGCGGGCCCCGCGCGCCCCGCCGCCTCGGGCCCCGGCCTGGGCGGCGGCCTCGAGCTGCGCCCGCAGTCGCACGCGCCCGACGACTACGACCCCGTCACCTTACTGCGCAGCACCTTCAACAGGGACAAGAAGGACAGGGGGAAGGAGGTTGCGAGGGACAGGTAACATTTTTTTTTATATTACGACTAGATTTCCCGGCCTGGATTCGCACGGATGTACACGTATTATACATATAAACCTTTCTCGTGAATCAGCTACTACTAAAATGTGCAGTTTAAAAGATATAAGCGAATAGACAGCGGAACCGACCTCATTTTATACTATACTAGGTTTTGCCCGCGGCTTCGCTCGCGTTAATTTATCCCCTTAGATGTGGAATTAATCAAAATCCTTTCTTAGCGGATGACTACGTCATAACATCTACCTGCATGCCAAATTTCAGCCTGATCCGTCCAGTGATTTGGGTTGTGCGTTGATAGATCACTATGTCAGTCACGTTTGAGTTATATATCTAAATATATATAACTCAAACGTAAATAGGTAGGCTGTTTGTTTTTCAGCATCTTTATCTAAGATAAAGATGCTGAAAAACAAACAGCCTACCTATATATTTATGTTATAATTTAAACCCCATTTGGTCGCAATTGGTCAAGCCGTTTCTAAGGAGTATCGTTACAAAAAGTATAAATGTGATCTCTGAGATGGCTCTACGTTTCGCGCTCCGTTGAATGATTTTTTGGGGAGTGTCTAAAAATTTCTCAGGAAACAGAACTTTTTACGAACACTACACTCATAACTTCTTGTTACGTGCCGCAACACCGACCACGGCAATGTACCTATCCCGCCTACACTACGCTACCAAGGAACAGGACATTGTTGACTACATCCGGACTAAAAGCAACCTTACATTGAGGGTGACGCAGTTGGAATCGAGCCACAACGCGAGCTTCATAGCGTTCGTGGCCCTGGTCCCCACCAACATGCTGCCCACCTTCATGAAGGAGGACTACTGGCGAAGGGGGTGGTCTATCGGCGCTACCGTGGCAGATTGCCGTCGTCAGTGCCGTGACCATAGAGACAATTTTATTTACATATTTTATTATTATTTCTTATGTATGTTAGTCTATAAGGTATTTATAATATGGGCCATGTAGCCTGAATTAAATAAATAAATAAATAAATAACCGTATAGACTAGCCACTATAAAAACATTTTGTTTACATAATTGTTTACGCAAATAGACTGACAGTCCCTCTGATGGTATGTGGTAACCGTCGTCTACGTATATAACCTATACTACGAACATCAAGCCATCATGAATTGACTACATGTAATTCCTAGTGCTGCATATACTCACAAACTAAAGTACTTAGGTAGTAAGGCTGATCTTATGCTTAATTGCCACGATTTCTTCTAAAATTGTGTATAAAAGACGTTAAGATTTTAATGAGTTGATCATATTTTTATAGGAAAGAAGAAAAACCAGAACGTTCGGACAGGCGTGACAAGGACAAGGATAGACTGGAGAAAACGAAAGAGAAAGAAGATAGACGGGAGCGGCACAGAAGCGAGAGAGACGATAGAGAGTCTAAATATTCGGAATATAGACGAGAGGAGAAAGACAAGAAAGAGGAGAAACGGGAGAAGGATAGAGAACGATCAAGGGAAAGAGATAGATATAAGGATAAGAGTGAAAAGCGTAGAGAAGATGAAAGGGATAGAGATAGGAAGAAGAGGCGTTCACATTCGTCTAGTGTTGAAAGGTATTTTTATGTAAATACTAGCTTTTGCCCGCAGCTTCGGTTGCGTTAATCTATCCCCTTAGTGGTGGAATTTATCAAAATCCTTTCTTAGAGGATGCCTACGTCATAGTAGCTTTATGCATGCAAAGTCTCAGCGCGATCGGTTTAAAATTGACAAAGTTTCATACAAACTTTCATCCCCTATTTTATCCCCTTAGGGGTAGAATTAATCAAAATCCTTTCTTAGAGGATGCCTACGTCATAGTAGCTTTGTGCATGCAAAGTCTCAGCCCGATCGGTTTAAAATTGACAAAGTTTCATACAAACTTTCATCCCCTATTTTATCCCCTTGGGGGTAGAATTAATCAAAATCCTTTCTTAGAGGATGCCTACGTCATAGTAGCTTTATGCATGCAAAGTCTCAGCGCGATCGGTTTAAAATTGACAAAGTTTCATACAAACTTTCATCCCCTATTTTATCCCCTTAGGGGTAGAATTAATCAAAATCCTTTCTTAGAGGATGCCTACGTCATAGTAGCTTTATGCATGCAAAGTCTCAGCCCGATCGGTTTAAAATTGACAAAGTTTCATACAAACTTTCATCCCCTATTTTATCCCCTTGGGTGTAGAATTAATCAAACTCCTTTCTTAGCGGATGCCTACGTCATAACATCTACCTGCATGCCAAATTTCAGCCCGATCCATCCAGTGGTTTGGGCTGTGCGTTGATAGATCACTATGTCAGTCACTTTTGAGTTATATATATTTAGATAATGTAAAATGTAAAAGTTTGTTTCTTAAGTACATCTAAGCATAAATGCTTAAAAAAATAATAATCATAATAACCTCGGACAATTCACACAGACAATCTCGTCTCAAGCCAAGCAGAACTTGTGTTATAGCTATTAGACAACTGATGTAAATACCAAGAAGATACCACTGAAATTTCATACAAACACTTACCATTTGTATCTATAAATATATACGTAACATATATAGAAATAATGTCTTTATTATTATTATTAAATTCTTCGATCTGAGTATTTCTATATATGTTACAACATACATTCAAACAATCATACTCATAAACACAAATTTGTACTGTGCGAGGAATATCCACAACCATCGGTAGAAAATTGCTAGTCCACCTAATTCGTAATCTATCTATACATATAAATAAAATTGGAGTGTCTGTTTGTAATATTGAAATATCCGATTTTTACTACACGCATATGAATATAAATACGGTAGGAGTGCCTACGTTACTCCTTATTACATCAGCTACCTGCCAAAAAAGTCTCGTCAAAATCGGTCCAGCCATTTCGGAGATTAGCCGGAACAGACAGACAGACGAAAATTGTAAAAAATGTTACTTTGGTGTATGTACCGTATTTATATTTTTATTTTAGAAAAATAAAATTAAATTCCAAGCGGATATATATATGAATATGTAAATTTGATACAAATAACATTTTATGTATGTATGAATGAATGTTATAAATATTATTGTATGTGTCTTTGTACAATATTAACATTACTTGGCAGGTCGAAATCTCCAAAACCCAAAGACAGAAAACGTTTGGAATCTGAGGATCAAGAAAAAAATCGAGTGCGATCTAAAGATGGCGACGAAGATAGCAAGAAGAAGGTATGTTGCACAGATATTTTAACTAAAACGAACTTACCACTTCATGTATTTATATTATTTTGTTTCTATAATTATCATGTGTGAGAGCACAAATATTCAGTGTGGACACTTGACTAGCGTTACGACCTTCTCTATTGGTGATCAAATTCCGAACGTATTGAGTCTACACCCATGTTGCGACACGTGTTTCACCTCTGAACAAGGCATCATCAGACGTTGAATAGAGTTCGAATAGAATAGAATAGAATAGAAAATCATTTATTCAAATAAACTTAATTTAAGCACTTTTGAATAGTCATAACAATTTGTTTTTTATCTACCACTCGTTCGGAAAGCTGTCTCATCACAAGAAGAACGAGCAAGAAACTTGTGTGTTGCTCTTTTAAATAATCCTTGTAAGTTTACATTTACAAGTCGAAACGTGTGAATACAAACTACCAACAAGCACTAATTTTTGGGTCAAATATAAATATGCAATAAGATTAAATCAGTCGTAGTGATAAGAGCAGACCAGTCCCTACAAGCAGCACTCGTTTCACGAGTATGACGGATGAGCCAGCCATCACTGCGCTCGACCATATTTTAGGGAGCCCAATGACCCGGCCCACCACGCCGCCACAAGTCTGGACATTTTAGTGAGCATGACTACTCATTCCACACGACCACGTCACAGCTACAAAAATTAATATAGATTGGAAGCCTACTGTTAACTGTTAAACGAACAATCACGGTTTTAAACAAAGTATAAATCGATAAAGTAGTAATTATATACATAAAATTCTCGTGTCACAATGTTAGTTACCATACTCCTCCATAAAGATTGACCGATTTTTATGAAATTTTATATGCATATTCTGTAGGTCTGAGAATCGGCTAGTATCTATTTTTCATACCCTTAAGTAATAAGGGTTGTTTTTTCTTTTTTGGACAAAATTTTATTTTTTATAATGTGGCATTAAAAATACTTGATTGGTGGTGATAGAAGGGTGAAATTTTAGGGTCGTATACCCTAAATTTTCACCCTTCTATCACGAACTCTTATTTTTTAATAACGATTTCAATTGAAATAGAAATAGAAATAATCTTTATTCAAATAAACTCATTACAAGCACTTTTGAATAGTCATATTTTAATTCTACCACTCTATGTAGAATCAGCTATTGTAGATATATTATTGTAATATACACTATATATTATTTTAATTTGTAATTTAAATAATGTAAATTAAATATTGTAATGGGTGAAAACTGTGATTGATACAGTTTATGCTGTAAATAATATAAATGACGTAGTGGAGTAACTTGAAACAGTCATGCTCGCTATAAAGTTCAAACCTGTGGCGGCGTGGTGGGCCGGATCGATGTGCTCCCTCTAATGTGGTTGAGTGCAATGATGGCTGGCTCATCCGTCATACTCGTGTACGGGTGCTGCTTGTGGGGACTGGTCTGTTCAGGTTGCGAACACTGATTAGATTTTTTGATTTTTTTGATTTTTTTTATATAGCATATGCTGGTGGTCACTCTATTCTCCCAAATATGAATTTAAATGAAATAGTATTATTGTAAAAATGTACAACATTAAAAAAAAATACGAGCTGAGTTTCTTGTCAGTTCTTCTCATCTCGAAATCATTCCGAACTGACGGTAGATTTGACATATCATAAGAGTCTGTAATAGACCTACATGAATGAAGATATATTGAATTTGAATTGAATTTGAATTTTGAATTTAATTTATATAGCAAAACAAAGTGTGCGTGGTCAGCTATTATACATATATACATCATTGTAATATTTTTATAGGAAGATGAACGGAACGAAGCACGCAAGGAGCTAATGGAGATCGTGAGGCTCATCAAGTCGAGGCAGCGCGACAGGGAGAACAAGGCAGCAGGTGACAATCATAACTTTCATAGCATAGGGGACAAACGAGCTTGCGCCTCACATGATGGTAAGTGATTACCACAGCTCATGAGCACTCACCCGCAACACCAAGCACCCGCAACACTCGGGGAATTGCAAGTACGTTGACTTTTAAGAAGGAATAAGCTCTTTTCCATTGCTGGAAGGTGATTCCACAATGTGGTTTAACGTTGCATAAAGTTTCTGATCTGTTCCTGTTATATTTATTTATTTATTCATTTTCAATCACACAAATGTTATAATAACTTGATTATATATTGGACCCCGCACTAGGCGAACCTGTATCGCGGGAGTTCATAAAAGAATTATTAACTATTATAAGATCTATGAGTAGAGTAGATGTGACAACAGACAAATGAAGATGTTTTAGTTTGATATCATAAAAACTAACCAGATCAATTGTCGATTACTTAATATTAAATAAAATAAAAAAAGTACTTTAGAGTCTAACACAGTACAATTATTTTATTTTATTTGTTATGTTATCTATAGATATATTGATAAATGTCAAGTGTCATGCGAGCGAAGTTGCGCGGGACAGCTAGTATTATTGAAATTGTTTGCAGAAATAAAAAAAATTGCGATAAAAAATATGTTATTTTTTATCAGAAGCCAAGAAAAGGCGAGATTCATCCGACTCGTCATCGTCCGAGGAAGAGCCTCGCTCGAGCGATCGTCGAGCCAAGCGGAGCCACACGCCGAGGTTAGTCTATACAGTCACATAGAACAGTTTTATATAATGTTATTAAAAATTTGACGGCTTCGGGGGTCTAGCGATTTAGCACACCACTTCTGATAGACGCGGGTTCGATTCCTCGCACGGTTCAAGCATTTGTATTCATGAGTAAGATTGTTTGTTTAGTCTGGGTGTTTTCTATGTATATTATTTATGTATTTACATAAATAAAGTGTATTTATGTAATTGTATCAGTTATCTAGTAGTTGTGTTATACAACGCCCAGCGTTGCTTGGGACTAGATGGCTCTAGTCTAGTCTCTGTCCAGGTGTTTATATCTATGCAGTCAGCCAATTAGGGGGCGTTCAAGTATTACGTAAGCACTATGGGGGACCGGAAGGTCTTTGGTTAGCTTATTTTGGATGCCATGGGGGTGGGGGAGTCTAGGTGATCATTACGTGATCGGCAGTTATTTACCTTTTTACACGAATTGCAACCCTCACATTGTCTTTGCTAAAAAACAATACATTAATTCAAAAATATTTACGTAAGCTTAGCGGGGACTGTAAGAGCTTTGCTTACTTTTGCTGACACGGGGATGGGGAGGTTAATAATTGTAATAAATCTACTTACGTAATACTTAACTGCCCCTTATATCATCTGCTTCTTCCTTATCCCATTTATTTGGGGTCGGCGTAATATGTTTTTCGCTTCCATTCATCCCTGTTCGCAGTCATCGCGTTATTTACTTCCTTTCTTACCATACCATCTTTCACACAGTCCATCAATCTCTTTTTTGGCCTTCCTCTGCCCTTATAACCATCCACATTCATTTGTAACATCTTTCTTAAAATATTATCCTCGTTCCTACGCATTATATGTCCATACCATGATAGACGATTACTCTTCAACCTCTCTGAAACTGCCCTAAGGGGCAGTTCACGATATAATTATAATATGTTCCACAGATCATAAAAAGTAACTCAAGATTACAAAGTACGAAAGTACAGCAGTTGTTCTAAATTTTGATTGATATTCTTGCAGAGGTCGTGGTCGTTCGTCGTCCCCGGCAACTTACCGCCGTGGTCGTCGTCGCTCGCCCGACCACTGACCACCGCATCACGACACCTACACTAGTGATACCCCGCCACGCCGTATTAAAACTACATGTCACATCAGACAACCGTCACCTATATATTAACTAGCGAATGTACATGTATTATACATATAAACCTTCCTCTTGAATCACTCTATCTATTGCTGAAAACTGCATTAAAATCAGTTGCGTAATTTAAAAGATATCAGCGAACAGACAACGGGAGAGACTGTTTTATACTATATATATATAATACGAAGGAAAATCTATACAGAGTTTATGAAACTTGCTCGGACTTCGTCATATGATAAATAGATATCTGTGCTACTGTTCATGTATACACGATGATTACCATTTACCATCAGATGGGTCATCATACATCCCATACAGACGATCATACATACAACACACCTATATCTTTTACATCCCATATACAATATATGATCATATATACAACACCCCCTCCGATCGATTCCCAGTCCAATTCAAACGGGGATCGAAATTACGACGGCTTAAGCCGTGGTCCGAACCCTAGCGGTGCCCTCAGACTATAGTCGTATCCGTCAGGCGGGAGTTGACTTTCAGCCGCTCTATAAGTCCTTCCTTGGTTTGGAGTGCCATCTGCACTTGCCCCCTATCGTCCTGTGAAGTTGTAAAGGCCAGCTGCGGCCAACAGCATTAGAGTACATACAACACACATATTTTAATGCCAAATCATCTCATGATCTTGGTGGTAGGTGAGATAAATCTAACAGATTGATAACTAATCACTCTAATTGCGATACGGTGCATTTTTTTTTAATTTTACTACATAATAGTGGTATGACGAAACAACAATGTTACAATATTTTGTTGTATTTGTTGTGATTATGAATGAGCTTTGTGTTTTTTTGTTAATATTAATGGACTTATACTGGAGTTTAACTATGTGTAGCACTTGATAATAATTCTCTTTGAATTAAAGATGAGGTTTTTTATAAGTTAAGTATGTGTTGCATTTTTATTTGTATACTAGTTATGCCCGCGGTTGCGATTTGTTTCACCCGCGTGAAATTTATAGCCTATACGTTATTCTGATGTATAAGCTATATTGCTGTAAAGTTTCATCAAAATCCGTTCAGCAGTTCTTGCGTGAAAGAGTAACAAACATCCATCTATACTCACAAACTATAATCTTAATAAGATTTGTGGATTAAAGTTTTTATAAGTTAGGCTTGTTACCAGTGTGTTGTTTACACACCAGGTCATATGTTGAGCACAGCACGATTACTCTTAAAAACGACTTTAAATTATTTTCAACTAGATACTCGCTCCGGCTTCGCACGGGTGTACATGTATTATACGTATAAGGGTCCGTTCAAGATTTATTACAATTATTTACCTCCCCATCCCCCGTGTCAGCAAAAGTAAGCAAAGCTCTTACACTCCCCCCTAAGCTTAGGTAAATATTTTTGAATTAATGTATTGTTTTTTAGCAAAGACAATGTGAGCAATTCGTGTAAAAAAGTAAATAACTGGCGATCACGTAATCATCATCAAGACTCCCCCACCCTTATGTCATCCAAAATAAGCTAACCAAAGACCCCCCGGTCCCCCATAGTGCTTACGTAATACTTGAACGGCCCCTAAACCTTCCTCTTGAATCACTAAAACCGCTTCAAAATCCGTTGCGTAGTTTTAAAGATCTAAGCATACATAGGGACAGACAGGGACAGCGATGTTTTATACTATGTAATGATAGCGTGTAATTTTGCCGCTATACTAAGTCTATGGTAACGTTTATCACTGACCAATCCTCAAGGACCGATCGGATTTGAGTGGTAAATGGAGACCTGAACGTCGTCTACCTTCGATGAAGTTTTGTTCTCAATCAGTCCAGCCGTTTCGGAGGAGTATCGTTACAAACAGTGCAAATTTGATATCTAAGATCGCTCTAAGCTTCGCGCTCCGCTCAATAAATTAAAAGCTACAATTTCATGAATATGTTTAAAGGTATTACTATATTCCCAACAAGATCACAATTGCAACTTTTACAGTGGATTCATATAATCAGGTGGATCAGGTATAATCCGTACAGTCGACGCCAATGACGGCATTTGATTGGCGCATTTACAAAGTGGGCGGGACGTAGCAACCAATGAGCCAATCGTATGACGTCGAAGGGACAAGAAATAGAAATAGAAATAATCTTTATTCAAATAAACTCATTACAAGCACTTTTAATTAGTCATATTTTGATTCTACCACTCATTCGGAATGCAGATTCATCACAAGAAGAATGAGCAAGAAACTTGTGTGTTGCTCTTTTTAATAGATGTTTTTTTTATGTTATTATTTATATAAAAAAATAAATCTATTAAAAAGAGCAACACACAACTTTAACAATAACAAGTAAGAGGCATGCGATAATCAACATAGAAGTCGCTACGCACTCATTATTAATGTAATCAGATAATATTGTCAGTGCTATAGATTTAAAGTTTTTCTATAAAAACATTATTATCGTTAACGAATTCTTCAATTTTAGTAAGATTTTTTGCAAAGTAACTGTTTTATTTGACATTTAAATCTTTTTTCAGGCAGATTTATAACAGACTCTGGTATTTTATTGTAAAACCTTACGCAATTGCCATAAAACGAATTACTAACTTTAGCCAAACGACATTTAGGTAAAATCAGTTTGTTATTTTTACGTAAGCTTTTATTAGTGCAATCACTAACTCTTTTGAAGTTGTCCAGATTCGTCCCTTCGACGTCATACTATGATTTTACCTGATTATGTGAATCTGTAAATGAAATACTCAAATGGTTAATAGAAAATTCGCAAGTCCATCACATTTAATACAATTGAGAGAGAAAAAGTAGGATCTCGTAATAGTCTAGTATAGTTTTAACCATGTTAGAAGTTTTAGACCCTGAGGAAATTGGTCTACTTGAACTGTTCCTGGCTCGCGGCCCATTCGATATCAAAAGATATCTATACATATAAATAAAATTGCAGTGTCTGTTTGTTATATTGAAAAAACCGTTTTTCACTACATACATATGAATATAAATACGGTACATACACCAAAATAACGTTTTTTCCATTTTTTGTCTATCTGTCTGTCTGTTTGTTCCGGGTATTCTCTGAAATGGTTGGACCGATTTTGATGGGACTTATTGGCAGGTAGCTGATGTAATAAGGAGTAACTTAGGCAACTTTTAGGTAAAAAAAATCTTTTACTTTAGAAAAAAAAAATTAAATATCACGCGGACGAAGTCGCGTGTGCAGCTAGTTGTAAATATTACTGATACTAGAAGTGCCTATAAAGCAATTTCTATTATGTTTTATCTTTTATAAGATAAGTAACTCTTGAAAAATTTCCATTATTGCTGTGTTCAGTATTGGTTTGTTATTTGATGAGAGTATCGAAAAAGTCGTTTAGATTTTTAATAATACAGCAATTTCCAAGAACGTTTAGGTATAACGTTGTACTGATAATAAAAAGAAATGTGTCTTTTGCTCTTTTAATACAGTTATAGATTTGTGTAATATTAATATTCTGGATTGACTGTGTACACTAACCTATAAACCTTCACATCCTATGTAGTTGTAGCCCACTCATGCATAAACGAAATAACTAAACTTTGGAAAGTTTACACTCTTTCCCGAGGAGATAAAAACCATCGCTCCTAAGAATATCCTTCAATTCTTGTCCCTGACGGGTCTAGGTAGCGAACTTTGAAAAAGCGAGCACAATAGATCTATGTAGGTCGCAGTGCTACAGGTGCTACAAACATCTGGCAATAGCCCAAACAACCCAATAAAAAAAACCTATAAACCTATTCTGCAAGTTGTCGAGTCATTTAACAAATGTACCTATCTGTACTAATCTTATAAAGCTGAGTGAGTTTGTTCGTTTTAACGCGCTAATCTCAGGAACTACTGGTTCGAATTGAAAAATTCTATTTGTATTGGATAGTCCATTTGGAAGGCTTTAAGCTATATAACATTAAGATACGACAAATATAAGTGAAGTATCAGTTAAAAGTGTTGGAAAACCGGGTAAAATTATTCATATTTGAGCTTCCGTTGCGTGCAAAGTCGCAGGCACATCTCGTCGAATAAACTTACACTTTTACATGTAATATTGATGTAAAAGTGTAACAATTGTATCAAAATACTATATTATTTAATTAAATATAGTATAAAGGAGAAAACTTGCTTAATCATTTCTTTGCATGTAAAACTTTTCATTTTCCCGTCGTTAAAATTTTCTATTTTGGTACATTAAGTATTTTTTTTGTGGATCATAATGGAATGGTGCACCCGCCTGCGCTAACGGTTTACGCTGGCGGGGCACCAGTGGAGGATGATAAGATGAGCATGAGGTCAGGTCAGTTAGCCCAACGTGACAAATTCACCAGGAATTTAACACGGTGGTTTCCAGGGGGAACCGCGTGGAGGTCGACCTGACATGGTACATTGCTAGCAATGGGGTTATCAATCTACATTACTAACAATCCCCTTCCCCCCTACATTAAGTATTTAAGTAGTTGACCCGGGATGTAAGCTAGCTCCATGCAAAATTTCATTTAAATCAGTCCAGTCCTGCAAGATTAGCGTGTAGGTACAGACAGAGAAACAATAAATTTGAAAAGATCTAAGTGTTCTATTTCACTTCTAACGCCTCTCTGAATCGGTTTTTGGCTTTTTTTTCCTATGTACAGACATTCAACCTCTATTGTTTTATTATATGTATAGATGCGTTTATAATAATAATAAACTCTTTATTGTGCACATAGAATACAATAAGAAAATCAGTAAATAAACGATTAATTACAAAAGGCTGTCTTATCGCTACATAGAAGAGGTAAATGGCATACACAAGACACTATAATTATTAAACGTATAAATAGACATACATATATAGATATATACAAATAAACTTACACATATACAACATATTGGAAGATTTCAGAAATAAATAGGTAAAAATGAGCTATAGAGACATATAATGAGATCACACGGTTTTTGAATATTGCATGAGATTGAGCTGATTATAATAAACAACACGAAATTTTACACAAAAGAAGTGGAAAATAAATTTCAATTAAATGTGTATTTAATTTGTAACTTGTGTAATCTGTAGATTTAGTAGTATATAACAAAATTGTTTTAAGGATGTATGTTTTGTATGTTACAGTATATATTCATTAATTTGTTTAGTGGAGTTAGCACTAACAGATTTCGTCGTAGCAGAGACACCTATACCTAAAAAATTATACAACGCAAGTGCTTTTCAGAGCCACTAAAATGTTCATATATAATGACTTTATTTACTTGGAAGAGGTTTGAATGTAAAATGAAGGAGTTTAGAATAAAATTATTAA